TATTATAGGAAAGATACCTTCCTCACTCACAGGGAAGTCAATATGCCTCTAAGGGTTTGAGACTATTACATTGCAAAATATCATCCCTATATGTACTCCCCAATGATGGTTAACAAACAAAAAGCAGCCAGGAGAAACCTTGTCTTTGTTATCTATTGCTGAGAAACAAGCCACCCCCAAAATTTAGTGCCTGAAAACAATTGATTATAATCTCTTGCAATTCTTTGGGCTGATTAGACACAGCCAGGTAGTCTTCTACCTGTCTTGCTTGGAGTCTCTCATTGATGGTGTTAGATAGCAGCTGGGGCTAGAATTCTCTGGGGGCTTGACTAGGTGGACTGGAAGGTTCCAAGGTGTTTTCTTCACTCACATGTCCGGTGCTTTGGTTCACATGGCCTCCCTCTCCACCTGGAGCCTCTTCCCCCAGGGTTTTCTCCATGACCTCTCTTCCCATGAAGATAGACTTCTTACATGACTGACCTCTATGAGTGTAAAATTAAAAGCTCCCAGGACTTTTTAAGGCAGAGGCAGAGGCCTGGCATAGTATCACTTTCAGCCTCTTTCCATAAGGTAAAACAACTCAGGGCCAGCCTTGATTCAATGTGGGGGGACTACTATACAAGCACATCAGTATGAGCAGCAGTGGTTCATTGGGTGCCATTTTTGGAAACTAGTAACCCAATATTCTCCAACTATAAACAGGACAAATTTAGAATTTCAACTATAATTCCAAAAATCTGGATATTTTCTGGCTCAAACAGAGTACAATTAAAGAAATGAAGAGATAAGAAGTCTCAAGGTGATGAAGGATTTTGAAACAGTAGGTGTTTCCTTGTCCTTGCAAACCTGGCAGATTAGATCAGAGAGAGGAACGTGAAATAAACCGGCCATTGCATCCCCATTATCCAAATTTTGTGTACTCAGAAGCCTTAATTAATGATTTTTATTTTTTTGTGAGAACTCTATAACCAAGTATTACAGTTCTGACACATTTGAAGCATATACGCAGGGTTGTCTTTCCAAAGACAGCAAAAAATTCAGACAGCAGTGGAAATGTGCAAGGGTTAGTAGAATGCAAAACAGATAGGGGGAAAAATAAAATAGTAGCTAGGAGAGCCGGCAGTAAAGATTCCCATGGTACCAGAACAGGAGAGGAAAACCAGCATCCTCTTTCCTGTTCCTCTGGAGCTTCTCAGTGCATAGTATCTGTGCCCTCACAGCACAGTAGGTAAGTTTAGAGGGCAAGGAAGGACCCAGGTTCTCACATGAAGACTATCTAATTCTGCAGAGTGTCTGCAAAGACTAGGAACCTCCTTGACATAGATGGTCTGAGACTGGGGTTCCCTTTTCTTGTGCTGAACCACCATTTAACACCAAGCAGCTTTTTGTTAATGTTTATTTTTCTTTGACATGTTTAGACTGTTATCATATTATTCTCCTCCCTCTAAAAATATGTACTCTGGAGGTGCCTAAAATAATACACTCCCAGCAATTGCAGTTTTGAAAAATAAAGGTTATTTCATTCATTAAATTCAATGGAAATTTGTTGCTTAACAAGGAAATAACAAACGCCTTATACTTGAGGGCAACTACTGTGTCATATATGACTTTAGTATCTCCTACCCCCTGGGTTCACTGTCTACTTTCTCAGATGTAGTAGTTTTAATAAGTAACTTGAATTGTTAAGCAATACGCTCTTATGCCCTTTGACGCAGAAGTGTCATTTCATTATGTCTCTGTATGTTTCATATCAGGTTCATTGTAAATAATTTCACCTAAGCTTGTTTTCAGTGTGCAGGTCATTTTGCAGGCTTTTCAAATAACAGCTGAAAAGGTTTAATTCAAGTTGAAGAAGCTGGCTTCAATTACAAGCAATTAATTTAGTTAGGCTTCACTTAGCTTAAGGAATATTTGAACATATGACTTTACAGATAAATCTTGGCAGTGTCAAATTATGCAACCAAGAGAAAGTAAGTTCTTTGCAGTTTTTTGGGCGTTGATCTGTTACAGTCAGGCTTTTTTTTCTTTTTTTTTTTTTTTTTTTTTTTTTTCTCCTGTCAGGTTTTTGAATGAAATAGTAAAACCTCTGCCAGCACTGTCTACTTCACCTGGCTTTGCATAATTCCAAGAAACTAGAAACTAAAAACAAGGATTACTAAAGAGTTAGAAAGATTGTTAACACATAAGAGAGAAAAAAATCCCAAAACTATTTATCTCTTCTCTCTTAAATCTGAAAAGATTTCACAATATTCCTGTTTTCAAGTACTTGAAGTTTTCTGTGGACAATGCTTAATTTTTAAATAATTGCTTTTAATGTAAAAGGCAATATATATTGTAGATTTAAAATATACTTAAAGTAACAACGAGAAAGGTAAAAATCATTCGTGAGCTTACAGCTACGATTTTAGTAAACATTAAAGTTGTTTAATTTTTTTCCTAGACACCACCTGTTTTTACAAGACGGGTCCATACTACACAAACTATTTTATAGCTTGGCCTTTTTTATTTTTATTGTTTACATCATATGCTGGGTACGTGAAAAGAAACTTGTGAAGATTCTGGCATGTTGTAGTATTGCAGTCTTAAAAGGCACCATCTGTGGTGTGACGTGTGCGCTTTGGTGGGAAGAGAAGACTCCTGGTGGGCAATACTGACCATTCTCCGACCTCCCCGTTTGCCCACAGCGATGGGCCAGCTAGAGTGCCAGCGCGTGGGAGTAAGCGGAGGGCGTTCAGGGTGACCGAGAGCACGAGCTACCCGCGCGGTCCACGGCTGCCCTGGGCAAGTCCCACTGGCCCCGGCCCAGGTATGGACGGAGGGCGAGAGGGCAGTTCGCGTCGCGCAAGGCCTGGGTCTAAACATTTAACCCCCACCCCCAGGGCTGGCGCCACTCTCGGGCGGTCGAGTGAGATAAAGCCGGGCAAGGTTCTGCAACTCCAGATCAGGGAGGCGCAGCTCCGACACTGGCGCCTCCGCGGGGTCTCCAGTAGTGTTTGTTCCAACTGTTTAAACTGTTTCAAAGCGCCTGAACCCAAACGACCTTCTGCAAACAACTCTTAATCTCGCGGGCCGAGAGTTTAGGTTTTATTTGCGGGGAGAGGGAGTGATTGAGCGCGGGGACCAGGAAGCCAATGCAGCCCTCCTCCCGGCACCCCGCTCGCCTGTCCGCGGGGACCCCCGCCCACGGCCCTTCCCTGCCCCGGGCCCACGAGCTTCTTGCGTCAGCTGGGGCGGGGGTGGGGGATTTTCGGAAGCTCTGCCTGCGCAGCCAGCCCGGGAACGACTGGCCCGGGCTCTTGCCCCGCCCTCTGGGGGGGCGGGAGGCGGAGCGGGGCAACAGCCCAGCGGGCCACTCGGGCCGTGTCGCGGGAGTGCTGCGGTGACCGGAGGAGCAGCCGTCGCCTGTGCTGCCCAGTCCGCGCCGCGCCTCGGCACCTGGGACAAGGCTGCCGTCGGGGAGCGCCACACCACGGTCCCCAGCTCATCATGATGGACTTGGAGCTGCCGCCGCCCGGACTGCCGTCCCAGCAGGTGCTGCCCCGGCCCTTGGAGCCCAGCGGTGGTGCCAGGACGGGGACAGGGGCTCAGGGAGCTGCGGACTGGGCGGGACAACCGCAGCCGGCTTCTCCCGTCTACGGCCTGAGTCCGGACTGCTGTGGCCGCGCACTAGAGCCGCTGCGCTTGCGCTGGGGCCCGGGCGGGGAGGAGGAGCGAGGACCCAAAGGGCTGCGAGGATCCTATGGGACGCGAGGGGAGTGGGAGTGCGACCCCCGAGGGCGACTATGTGGAGGTCTGGAAGCCACTTCCGTGTGCGTAGGGCGAAGGGGCCTCTCTAGCCGCGTCCCCGGCTTCCGGAGCTGGGACTCGGGAGCTCCAGCTGGAGTTTGAGCAGCCCCAGAGGTGGCAGGGCAGGAGGGGGCGGACGCTGGCGGTCTGAGCCGGCGCGGCCCGGCCCTTCCGGGGCTGCGCTGCTCCCCCGCCTCGGAGCCGGCAAAAATGTGCCTAGTCACGGGGCCGCTCTCGGGGGAGTTGAGGTCTCCTCCGGACTGGGACCCGGAGCCCCTGCCCTACCGCCGCCCCCATCCACGTTCTCCGCGGGCGCGGGCGGTGGCTCTGCGCGCTCACCCTGCTGGCCCGTCTAAGGGCACCCCTTGGCAAAGTAATCAGTCAATCCTTCCATCAGATCGCTCGTAGGCAGCTTGGCGAGAAAGCCCAGCCCCCAGGGTGGGGGGAGGGAGGAGGTCACTAAGTGCCCAGCGCTCTGCGATGCCCCGACGTGCGGCGGCGGGACCAGGCGCTCCCTCGCGTGGTGGGAAATGTTCGGCCTCGGAGATCCGGGGTCGGCTTCTGGCAACCGGCGGGTAAAAGCGGGCGGGGCAGCGAACTGAGGTCGGACGCGGCTTCCCGATACCCGCGTGGTGCCTCCCAGTGGCGCACGCCGGGTGCGTGGACTCGGCCTCCAAGACAGTGGCCCGTTGGCTGTCACGGCGGCCCTCGGTTGGCCCTTTCCTGCTTTATAGCGTGCAAACCTTGCCGCGCCGGGGCCAAGGGACAAGTTGGAGCTGTTGATCTGTTGCGCAATTGTTATTTTCCCCAGGGCGGCTTTGTCTTTGGATTTAACGTTTCAGAATTGCAGTTCCAAAATGTGTAAGGCAGGATATTCTGTGCTGTGCTGTCAAGGGTAAGAGTTTCGAGAGTGGATTAGAATTTCTATTGATTTTAGGCTGTTAGTAAATTTTTTGCTGTCATATATTATTTCTTCCTTGGATGCTTTCGTTTTTTTCTAGTTGAGAATTTGCTTCGATTTCTTAGCATGTTTCTTTTGCTAGGGCAGAAGGTGGGACACTTGGGTTTCATAGTATTTTGCTAGCGAGTTTTGTAAATTGTTATAAAAGTGAAAACAAGTTACTGTTCATACTTTGTAGGGACTTTCAAAGAAGTAGATATTTATATTTCCAAATATTTTTGGTAATTGGGTTTTTAGGAAAAATACTTAATACTTGGTTCAAGGAAATGTGTAGCGTAATAGGTATAAGTAAGAGCATATGTTTATACTGTTAAATGTGAAGTTTTACATTAATCTTGAAGATTTAAGATTTTAAGTTATTGACAATATATTGTGCTTTTTTGTTATTTAAAGCTGTTTGTCTTAACCTCCCCCCCCCCCCTAATGATTAGGATTGTATTCCCTCAGTTCGCGCTACTATGAAGTATATTGTACTTTCCGATTTAACTGCTATTCAACAGAATTTATATAACCATCTAGCTATTTATACAGTAATCTATATAACCAAAGGATATAAAAGGCTAATGGACTTTTGTTTTTCTAAACTGTGTTCTAGAGTTCTCTATTATTTTTAATTTTTTTTCCTGTGTAATTTAACATTCTATGTATACAAAAGTTCATTAAGCATGTGTATTGCTTTCTCTTTTAAATGTGAATTTTCAGTTATATTTGATAAGGTAACTACTTTTCCTCCTTTGTAATCAGACACAGTTTTCATATTTGAAGACTATGAAAAAAGGAAATGGAGTAAAATTTGAAATCAAGTTCATGTGTGTAACTGTTAATCATATTAAATAATAGTGGTAGTCTGGAAAGATTTCAACAAAAAGTCAAGAATGGATTCTGAACTTTGTCAAATAAATTCCAGGTATGAGGTGGTACTAGGATTCAGTTTTTCATCCTGTGGGCAGAGGAGGTATTGATAAACAGGGTAGAAAACAGAGCCTGAGATTCTGTATTTCTGTTAGCTGAAGGAACCATCCATTACCCCTTTCAATGGTGTCTCAGATAAAGCACTTTTATGTATGAGGGATGGAGTTGATCTTGGACTAGACTGATTAAGATTATTTTTAAAGGAACATAAGACAGGCCTCTCATCTGAATGAATGTTAAGCAAAGAACAACTTGACTTTTTAGATACGACTTTTTAGACTTGAGAGATTATGGAAGATGCATGTAGGAGAATAAATACACAATTCATATCAGTCTTTCTGCTTTAAAAATAATGGGTCATTCTGGAATCTTTGTTGTTGGGTTTTTATAAACAATGCTGGATAAAAAAGAACTCCTGTCTTTCTTTAGGATTACCAGGATCAGTTGAAAACCAAATACAGTTTTTCTTAATATTTATTTTCATTCAGCATGAATATTCTTCAGAGCTACATGAGAAAAGGAAGCCTCTGTGGACTATAAGCACATTTTTGTTGTTGTTGTTGTTGTTGAGAATTTCCTACCTACTGGCTGAACATAATTTAAAGTGGGTTTTGCATAAAAAATATTTTCTCTTGAATTTTTCTTTGATCTGGGGTTAACTTTTCAGTGCAAACTCTTGGGTGCAGGAAGAATTCGGCACTAAGATGATAATAGATGAGTTATTGGGCACTTCCTTGAGTGCCAGGAGCTGCAATAATTGCTTCACCTGCATAATTCCACACTAACCCCATGGGAAATACTATTATCTCCAGTTTCCAGGGGGAGAATAGAGGCACAAAGAGGCCAAGAGTCCTGCTTAAAGTGCCCCCAACTATTTTTTATTAATTACTTTATTTACATAAGTAATCTCTGCACCCAACATGGACTTAAACTCACTACCTGGAGATCAAGAGTCCCACATTCCACCTACTGAGCCAGCCAGGCGCCTGAAATGCCCCAACTATTGACTGGTGGAGATGGGATTCAAACCTAGATAGTCTGACTCCAATGGCTTTAAATCACCACTTCAAGACTAGACCAGGACTGCTTAAACTTTAAACAGGAGGAATAGCTCACATTTTAAAAAGTGGATTAATTGAGAAGAACTAGGGGAAAGAGAGGCAGGAATTAAAAAGATTAACTTCTGCACCTTTTCCACTTAACAAGAAATTCATTAACTTTGTATGTATTGGAGGAGGCGGGCCCTCTTAAATTCAGTGAAAGTAAATACAACCTGGCGATTAATTACCACATGGGGGCTTTTTAAGGAAGACACTGAGACCTAGAGGGGTTTCATTTGGAGGGGCAGGACCATTTCTTTCCTTCCTTCCTTCCTTCCTTCCTTCCTTCCTTCCTTCCTTCCTTCCTTCCTTCCTTCCTTCCTTCCTTCCTTTCTTTTCTTTCTTTTCTTTCTTTCTTAGTAATCTCCACATGGGGCTCAAACTCACAACCCTGAGATCAGGAGTCACACACTCTGCTGACTGAGCCAGCCAGGCGCCCCAGGGCCACTTCTCAATATAATAATACTTTTAAAAATTCATGGGATCTCAGCAGTGTTCAAGATTAAGGTTAGGGTTATGTTAGGGTTGGAGCATTACATTTTTCAGGGACCATTTTTCCTTTTTCTTAATTAAATCTGTTAGCTGCTAGACCCCCCTTTGCTTACCTTTATTTGCCTTGTTAGTTGGTACATTCTCCTGTTCATTGACTTTTTTTGCTTTGAAGTAGTCAAAAATAAGTTTGATAATATATATATGTATATGTATGTATATATATAGTGAAAAGTGGGATCGACAGGGTTAGGCCAGGTTGAAAGTCACTGGGTAGAATGGGGAGAATTTGAATGGAAAATGGCTAGGAGAAATTTGTTGGCTCAAATTAAACACCAGTCTCTTGTTCAGGGCATTTCTGAATTGAAGCAAGCATAAGCGCTCAAGTTAATCTCAGTGAAGCTTATTTAGGGTTTTGAATATTTCAAAATCAAATATATTATTTCTTAGTCTTTATTGTTAAACAAGTTGTTTTCAGAATTATCGTCTTATTTGTGTGAATTAAAGATGGTGCAGGATTTTTAGGACCCGGTGGGTGATTTGCCTGAAAGTTAGTGTGAGTAAACCCAGGGTATTTAAATGCCTGGTCCAGGGGTGCCTGGGTGGCTCAGTCGGTTTAGCATCTGACTTCGGCTCGGGTCATGATCTCAGTTTGTGGATTTGAGCCCCGCATCGGGCTCTGTGCTGATAGCTCAGAACCTGGAGCCTGCTTTGGATTCTGTCTCCCTCTCTCTGCTCTCCCCTGCTCATTCTCTCTCTCTCTCCTGTCTCTCTCTCTCTCAAAAATAAATAAACATTAAAAGAAAATAAGAAAATAAATGCCTGGTCCAGCCATTTCTGAAAGTTTGCCGAAATCTGTTGCATACCAGGATATGGGAGGACAAATATACTAATGCTTTATTTAACATACCTCCTTTACCTTTGGCTGTATGTTTGTTTTAAATTTACTGTTAACATGAATAATAGAGTTTATATTTTGATAATATGATTTTTAGGAGTTACTAAAATTTCATTGCCACCTGCTTTTAAATATGGTCCAACAGACATTTATTGAAAGGGGTCTAAGATACAGGCCAAGGCTTTTTCAATTGCGCAGTTGATATGGCATGTTTTCTGGAAATGAAAGCAAAAGTTTTATAATATTTACATTCCAAAACAGTATTAGGAAAAAAAAATGGTATTCTTACACTAACCTTCCCCCACACACAGACACCCTCCCTCCAAGAAAACACTAACAAAATTCCGTTCTGCCTAAAGTTGTTGGTTTTCTTTGTGTCAGCCCC